GAAAGGGTTAAAAATCCATAATTAGAGGAGTGTATGGGTTTATCATATTGTTATATATCCATTGTAATCATATCATGTATAAGAAGTATCATTCTAAATCCCATATTTTTAGTTTTATCATAATCACCTATTCATAATTTTTTAAGGTATTACCCCTTAATTAGATTTGGAACACCACTCCCCTTGTATTCTTTTCATTAAACTTTAATTTCCATTTATTACCTACTGCAATAATATTACATTCTGATTGTAATATAACATTTTGATTCCAATTGTGACATAAGTTTTGTCTTTATGTTTTTATTGCTTGTAATGGATTTATTTAAGCGATTTCAAAGCACCGTACGCTCTGAAAAAGACTGTGAAAGAGCGTATTGACAACTTGCGATCACAGTGGAACGCAGGGATACGTTCCAATATGAAGAATATGACTTATTTGTTCCACCGATGGAACGCACAACCCGGAAGCGGAAGTACCAACACGATCTGATGCCTGCAAAAAAGACCACGAATTATGGAACATTTAAAAAGGAAACCGATGGACACAACACAACAGCAACTGAGGAAGCCTCTAAATGAGGCAAAACGCGTTTTGCACCTTATGAACTTTACTAAAGGACTTACCTACAAACTGTAACTTTCTTTTTATTTGATTGTGCACTTTATAATAAAGCACTTTTAATACTTACCATTCAGAGGATATTCCATTGCTTAAGATCTCCTATTAGCATAAAGAAGCAAGTGGGAATCTTTATGTCTCACAAAGCTGTAAATTTTGAGCCACATTTATTGGCTCTACGTTTGTGAGTGCTATTTCACCAACTATTTGCACTTTATTATTTAAGATTTTCAATATTGCACTATTTTCTGTCTCTTTATATTTTATTTTTAGAATGATACCTGTCCAAGAATTGATTTAGAATCAAAACAAGAAAGATACTCCACCTTGTATTGTATGTATATAGGGGGTGGAGCTTGACTGCCATACTGGACGGCTGCTCATCAGAAAGGCACCTGGAAGTTTTGCAAAGACTGACAAGAAGAACTACTTAAAAATGGACTTCCACATATACTCACCTGCTAAGGTACTGGTCTGTAGGTACTGTCTGTAGGTGCTTGCAGGGTGGTACACAAGCGCTAAGCCTAACAATCGTGAACATTTCCAATATAAGGGCCTTTTGTTCTAGGCCATTAAAAAACAAACAATCCCATGGCAGGACCATGATCTGTCCAGCCATGGAGTTTCTCTGTATTCTGCACCCCCCTGCAGCCACTGGTGAGGCTACAAGCATGCTTCGGATCGGATAGTTTCTGCAGTCAGTAGGAAAAGGGCCTGACTCACAAGATGGCCATGCGGCCACGATGGACTTAATTATACCCACACATGCATGACATCCTAGCAAAATATGACCGGCTATTCGAAAACTTCATGGAGTGGTTAAACCAGCGAGCACCAATATGCTTAACTAATCCATTCCAGCTGACTGAAGATCAAAACCCTCTGGACCTCATGCCAGAAGTTTCACCAAGTGCCCTCTTTATCTCTCAGAAGATGTGCCTTCCTAGGCTTGGAGTCGACCGGAGTTCATATCTAACACACAACCCAGGCCCTCGGAGGGCAGCACGATCTGGGACACAGTTACCTAATGTGAAGAATGCCTTGAGCTTTACTTAAGATCAGGACAGTAGGGAAATGGTGGCAGCTCCTGTCCAGGCCTGGGGCAGGTATGATGTTTCTGGGATATGAGACGACTATAACATACAGCCAACCATACATAGGCCACTACTGAGCACGGGCATGGGTTAATGCCATTTTATTTTATGAGGCATCCTTTAGTTCTGCCTTTGATTTGTTTATCTTTTTGTGATTTTACATGCTAATTCCTATCCCCCTTGTCATATTATTAAGGCAGAACCAACGAGACAATTTCAAAGGCTTAAGAGAAATTCTGCTCTATTTGATAATTTTCTTGTAGCATCATGTGAGATACAGGTTGCTTGTTCGCTGTTCTTCTATGCAGGACTTGACAAGGCCATTTAAAAAGGTCATTCAGTGTCCCCTTTTATTGATATGGAGGGGTCATCAGGTCAGTCAATTACTGCTAAATCAGTGCCCTCACCTCCATATAAGTGTGAATATGCTGTGGTTTATTTCCTTACATGCACTTTATGTGGAAAACAATACATGAGTCAGATCATGTGTTAACTGAAGAATAAGATGCGTGAACATATAAGATATATTCTAGACACTGGGAATAATAATCCCACCCTGTGGCAAGGCATTTTACGACTTGACATTCTTCTAATCTACATTGCTATCAAGCTATACAGAATGTTACTACCAGAGGGAGGAGGGATGCGAGTAAGGTTTTATGTTATGTGGAAACGGAATGAATTTTTAATTTACATACAAGGATACTGAGTTTTTTAAATTCCCTTTATATGGTATCTTGCTTTGTATAATGATGTAATTATTATTTAGATTTGGTAGAAGAGTTTACAGTATTTCAATTTTGAAGGAGGGTTTGCAACTTTTTATGCATTTTTATATTGTGTGGCTATATAATTATATTTTAGGCTCTGTGAATTTCAGTGATTTATGTGCTATTATGGTACATGTTAGTACGTTATGAATTTTTCCCAAAGTAATTATGTTTATTTCATTTTTAACAAAATCTTTTTAACAATTTTAATTTTATATTATATTATCTTCTTTTACTTTTATCATTGTTATGGATTTAGTCCATGGTGATATATTAATATTTTTGGATACACTTTTAAAATAATTTTTCCAAAATATTAAAATGTCAACAAATATGTCATATATAAATAATATATTAATATAGAAAATCATCAGAATATTAATTTAGTAAAATGGTTTCCAATATATATTATTAATTTGTGACCTAAATTATGAATAAATTACTTTCATCTGAAAATCCTGGTAATATATTTTTACTTCTGAAGATACATAAAAATGAAAAATACTCTCCTAGATGCCCCATTGAATCTGGTATAGGTACCCTTGTCTTTAATTTGTCCGAATAACTAGATTTTTTATTACAACCTTCTGTCAAGAAGCTGTAGTCCTACCTGAAAGACTATTTGATTATTTCAAATCTTGGATGAAATTGTATGGAATCTGAATTATATCCTAGTGACCTGTGATGTACATTCCCTCTATACCATCATTCCCATAATCCCAGACAAAATGTCTGTCAAGCTATTAAAAACATACCAACTCAAGAAATTATTATGACAGATTCACAAATAGAATGTATCATTAATGGTTTAAATATTATTTAACAGAACTATTTTTTTATGGTTTTTAGATTTATTTTATCTAAAAAATCATGGTAAAGTGATGAGTACCAGGTTTGAACACAGATACACAAATCTTTTTTATGGTGGAACGAAAATAATCTCCCATTTAGGGTGAGCATGACAATTTTTTCTCATCTTGATTGGCTCTAGTGTGTCACTTGACTCCTTTTTAAAACATCTAACTTCAAACTTCAAAATATTTTAATTTAACTTCTGAATACAGCTTTATGATTATTTTAACGTCTACAAAAGTTAAGTACAGCAAAAAATAAATAATTTTGTGGACAAATATTTTATCAGAGATAATAAAACAAACACTTTCTTAAAAAAAAATACACACCACCACCATTGTAGATCAATCCAGCTGCCACTGTGGTCAATGGATCAATAGTATTCCCAAAAGTCAATTCCTACGTCTTTAAATAAATTGCTCTTCAAGCAAAGATTTTAATGATTAAGCCACTGTTTTAAAAAAAAAAATATTTAGCTAAATTATTAAGACAAAAAACTTTGAGTTTAAGAAACAAAATAGAAAAGAACTTCTAACCTTTAAGACTAAAAACACAAAAAGAACTCCAACCCTTCCAATGACTATTAATTAAAATTATAAAAAAATAATAATAAACAAACACTGGCATATACTGAAACAAGATGATATACTTAAAAATCCATGAAAAAAACAAACTTAATTTTTAGGGAGACCCCTAAATCTCCCCCTAAAAAGAGCAACACAAGAAAATTTAGTTTTAAAAATAATACTCTATCTAATACCGCGGTTTTACAAAATTAAAAAATCTATTGCCTGTAAATCTACAGACCTAATAAAACTTCTCAGATTACCTCCAAAATGACTAATAAAGCTTACAACATTAGAAATTTTATTACGGCGGGTGGAGTCTGGCCACCATCTTAGATGGCCACGTTCTAGAGGAGCTTCTGAGGCAAGGGGACATAAATGTTTAATAAATAAATTATTAAGCCTGGATGACAGAGAATTTTACACATAAAGAGACACCTGAACAACTGGCAACAATGCTGAAACAAAAAAAAAAATGGAAAAAACGTGCCTGTACTGCAAAAGCAAGAGGCTGGAGCAGCAGGGGTGAGTAAAGGCCTGTAGGACCATTCACCTGTCAACAAAACTGGCCCGCAGCTTATTTCACCACAGAAATCCACATTCGTGGGAGTGGTGAAAACTATCCCACCAGCCCGCCCAGTTACTCAGACCCGCTCTTATGCGAGCGCAGCCGCGACCTGCTCGCATTACTCTCAGAGTGGGGGGATCATGGCTGCAAGTGCCGCGACATCTGAGGCCGGCTCAGTGCACTCTGGGCACTCGGCACGTTTGGAGTGCCGCGGACAATCTCCCGCGAGCAGCTTAAGAGAAGCTGATAGCTGCTCGCGCACTATAATTAAAGTGGCCCAGTCGCTGGTATACAAAAGTGGCCAGGATACAGAGGAGGGTGTAGGGGGTGTGAGGTCTCGCTCCCCGTCGAGGTCCTCGGCCTCACGGCTGGGAACACCGTCAGGGGGGTCTTTCCCTCCATCTCCCTAAAAGACAAAGAATTGGTAGATGATGGTGACAATTTAATAGACTGTGATGTACTGAAGGAAGAAATAGGCTCCATTTATTATTCTTCTATGCAAAAAACATCAGGCATGAAGTCTCTACCAAGATGGCTACTAATGAGACTTCTATTAATGATTTTACCACACCCAAGATGTCTACCACTGTACATGTAACCACTGCCACCACCAAGATGGCCACTGCCACTTCTAACATGGAAACTGCCACATCCAAGATGGCTTCTTCAGGATTCAAAACCATGACCTGCAATCCTAATATGCCACTTGAAATGGCAGAGGGTTTACCACCTTCTGCTGGTATGATTATTCAACTTATACAAAATTTGAGAGTGGATTTAAAGAATGACTTTAGAAAAGATTTTGACACTATGTACAGAGTTTTAGAAAACATTGGTCAACGTACAGAAGATGTTGAATACAGAATGCAGGTGCAAGAACAATCACATTTAGATCTGGTTAACACTGTGAAGGAACTTCAGAAACAGGTCAACTTGCAAGCGGAAAAAATGGCAGATTCTGAAGACAGAAGCAGGTGTAACAATTTGAGGATCAGGGGGATACCTGACAATGTGGAAACCTCGAACTTGATACATTATTTCCAAAAAATTGTTAAAATGATTTTACCCAAAGCTACTGATTTAGATCTAATAGTGGATCATATCCACAGACTCCCTAAATCTGCAACAGCTCCAAAAGACACCATAGTGAGACTACACTTTTTTCATATAAAACAGGAAATCCTGAGCACTGTTGGCAAATCAGGTCTCCCTGCGGATTATAAATATATCAAAGTTTTCCAAGATTTCTCAGCCTACACTATGAGACGCCATAGAGAATTTCAACCCTTCACGACAGAGCTGAGACAAAGAGAGATTCGTTACAGATGGGGATTCCATTCCAAATTTCACAATCACTTCTTCTGAGGAAGGGATGGATCTTCTTAATGCCATGAACAGACGTCAAAACCAACCTCACGTAACCTCATCGTCTATTCCAAGACACATCCACAAGAAAAGTAGGGCAGATGACACTTGAAGCTACTTTCTTTTAATTTTTTGAAGGCACAAAAGCTCCAACATACATATTGTTGGTTTTGATTTATTACTTTCTCCACGTTGTTTTATCACATTCATTTTATTACTTACAAATAGTTTTTTCTCTTTCCCTTTTTTATTTTTTTTTCCCACTCTCTCATTTTCCACATTCTTTATGCTCTTTATTGTGCATCAACACTTGGTTAAATGTCTATAGGATAGTGAAGTTTTTGAACATATATTACTGATTTCTGTTATAGGCCTGGGACATACTGAGCATTTATCGGACTTCATTAGAGATGTGTTCACGGAACTAGAAGGACTCCATTCTTTATTGATCTTCTCTGCATACCACTGTTCATTTTTTATTTTTCTTTAAAGCTTTGATTGTATTCCCCTTGCTGCAGGCAATTTTCTCTCCTCCCAACTGGGGCCTAATACCCTGAGATGGAGAATTATTTTTTATTCTCCCTTATGGCCCTTTTTCTAAACATAGTTTTTTTCTCTCCCCATATAGGGGAATTTATCCAAGTTTATCATTCCCCATTTTTTATTTTTCCTTTTTATCCCATCCATTTACTAATGCACTGTAAGCAATTCAAGAAGCTAACAGGTTATGCTTCAACTGTTTTAGCACACTCACTCTTGTCTAAACAAATGTATTTGTTATTACGATTGTTGGATTTCATAACTCTCCTCATGGGACGCGGGCCTTCGGGCTCCCACATTTCTATACAATCTCTTTTTAATAGATGTGTACTCTGATTTGAGTCATAGTCATTAAACACATGTCATTTAATGTGAGGGGCCTGAAAATCGCTCACAAGAGGCGACTATTGTTCAAAGAAGTCAAATCCAACAAATCAGATACTCATCTTATGGAAGGAAAAGAGTACAAATTTATGACACAGTTATTCCCTTCCCAATTTCATTGCACTTACAAAACTAAGTCTAGAGGTACTTCCATTTTTTTTAGCAGGAATGTGGCCAGTTCTACAGAAAAGATAATGACAGATGATGACAAGAGGTACATAGTATGGATTGGTAAGGTTAACAATGTTAGGTATACAATTGTCAATGTGTACTTTCCTAACACGGGTCAGCTTACTTTCTTTAGTAAAATTATGGATTTGGTGAATGAGAACATGATAGGGACTTTGGTGATGTGTGGAGATATGAACTTTGTTATGGATGGCGACTTTGTTATGGATAATGCAAGGGATAATTTGGATAAACTCCATAGGAGATATAGTTATAGATTAGCTGTGAAATGCTCAAAATATATGGTTGAATGTGGACTGTATGATCCATGGAGATTAATGCATGAGAATGAAAGAGACTTTACTTTTTACTCAGTATCCAAGAACATGTATTCCAGGCTGGACAGGTTTCTGATACAGGGCACTCTCATACCACACATCTCAAGATCTGATATTTTAGATAACAATTGGTCTGACCATGCTCCCATAACTTTGCATATAGACGAAATGGTTTCTTTTTCTCCCAATAGGCACTGGAAACTGAGTGATTACTTATTAGATGATCCTGAAAATAGATCGCTAGCTGAAGGGATACTGAATGACTATTTTTTGGAAAATGTTTTGCATGAGGTTCCTGGCGAGGTGACATGGCATGCGCACAAGGCTGTGTTGAGGGACCATTTCATTTCTAGGGCGTCTCACTTGAAAAGGAAAAATAACAGCAACTTAAGAAATTTTGGAAAAAGAACTGTACAACTTAAAGCAGGCAAATACATTTGGCCCATCTTCATCCCTGTCAGCAATGATAGGGGAGATTAAATCAAAAATTCACAAAATAAATTTGGATCGAACTACTCTCATGGTGAGATGCCTCAAAAAGTATTTTAATTAAAGGGTAACAAGGCCTCAACTCTCCTGGCGTCCAAACTCCGGCAGGTGAATGCCCATTCTAAAATTGCGTACTTAATAGATGACCAGGGACAATAAAATATTTAATCCGAATAAGATTAGTGACCAATTCGCCAAATGTTATAGTATACTTTTTAATTTGGAATATGATGTAAATCTCACCCAGCCATCTGAGGCGACTATTAATAATTTTTTAGACAGGGTTTCGTTGCCTTGGCTGTCTTCTGATAATTTGGAAAAATTAGAGCGTGATATATCTGAAGCAGATATAGCCGAGGCGATTAAGCTCATGCCATCTGGAAAGCCCTCTGGTCCTGATGGATTCACCATTTTATACTATAAGACCTTTGCAGAAACTTTAATTCCTCATATGTCCAAATTATTCAACTCCTATAAGTCCGGGGGGAAGATACCATGAGAGTCTTTGTCCGCACAGATTGTCACCTTGCCAAAACCGGGTAAAACTCCCGACAGATGCTCTAATTTTAGGCCCATATCCCTTATTAATAACGACACAAAAATGTATTCTAAGATACTGGCGAACCGATTAACTAATTTATTACCTTTATTGATCAATAATGGCCAGGTAGGATTCGTGAAAGGTAGACAAGCACCTGATGGAACAAGACGGTTCATTAACTTAATTCAGCATATCAATTCAACAAGAACTCCTTCTCTGCTCCTTTCATTGGATGCAGAGAAGGCGTTCAACAGGGTACATTGGGGATATCTATGGAAGACACTGAGCAGATTTGATATTCCACAATCTTTTATTACTGCGATAAAGGCACTATACAGTGCACCTACAGCTCATGTATTGGCCTCGGGTTTCCAATCCAGAACGTTTTCTCTAACTAATGGGACGCGTCAAGGCTGCCCCTTATCTCCAATTCTCTTTGTCCTGGCGATAGAACCCCTGGCCGAACTGATTAGGATGACCCCAGAAATCGCAGGTATTAATATCAAGGGATCCACTCATAAAATAGGGTTATTTGCAGATGACGTCATTCTAGCACTCAAAAACCCAAAAGACTCTCTGAAATCTCTCAATACTATTCTACTCCAGTTTGGAGAAGTGTCTTATTATAAATTACATGTATCCAAGACCCAGGCCCTACCTTTCCACTTGCATGAATCTGACATGGATGAATTAAGACTATCATATCCGTTCGACTGGAGGAGGGAATACCTGGAATATTTAGGAATTAACTTATGCAAACATTTACCCAATATGCATATTCATAACTTGAAGAGAGCATGGCCGGACCTACACTAGGAGATGAAGAGATGGGGTGGTGTGGAGTTATCGTGGTTAGGAAGAATTGCCTCCATAAAAATGTCAATCCTCCCAAAAATCTTGTACTATTTTAGAACTATTCCCTTATCTGTTCCAATGTCCTTCTTTAACAAAGTACATTCAATAATGCTAAAATTTATTTGGAACAACAAACCCAGCAGAATTAAGCTTACATCCCTGCAGCACCAAAAACTTCTTGGGGCATTGGTGTCCCTAATTTCAGAAAGTACTACTTTGCAACTAACGCGGCAGCGGTTGTAAGCTTTAATAGTCAAAAAAATAGACTGAGATGGATGAAAATGGAGGAATCTAGCATTTTCCCCTTTCAACTCGGGGAATTACCTTGGCTAAGCCCTGTAAGGAGACCTGGAGTAACTAAAATGTTTATGACCACTAAGACCACACTCAAAGCCTGGGATATAGTATTTAAAAACAACTGTCACTTGACAAAACTATATAGAACCATGCCAATTGAATCTTTAAAATACTACATCCCGACCTTAAACTCATCATTACTTAAAGAACACCGACTGTATCATATAGATTACTTTTTCCATGGAAACTCTATTCTGTCGTATGAAAGATTACAATTTAAGCATAGACTGGCGACAGAATGTAAGTATGAATGTGAGTTGGTGATTGAGAAATTAAAAGAAATATACAACATACCAGAAACTGAAAAAAATTATAAAGCACTAGAAATATCACAACTAGAAAAGCTATTTTTGCATGACCCGAATAGCAAGGGCATTATATCTATCTGTTATATGTTACATAACGATAAACCATCAATTAAACTGAAGCATCTGTTATCCTGGGAGATGGAGCTGGGTTCCCAATATAAGTTGGAGGATTGGTTCAGTTTTCTTTCAGCTCTGAAGGGCCTATCTTTCTGCTCCAACCATCACGAAAACCACTTTCTGTATCGATGGTATCTGGCCCTGTCTAAATTGCATAATATGAATAATAAGTACAGCGATAGGTGTTGGAGAGATTGCAGAGGACTGGGCAACATGGCCCACATATGGTGGTTTTGCCCAAGACTGATATTGGAAAATGATACATGACTTAATTATTAAGGTTAACAGTAACATACAGAACTGGTGTGTGTTTTTTATAGGACAAGGCAGCTGTAACCAACACCTCCAATCTCATCTCATTGATTGAACTCTAGTTGGCTGACATCTCACTCCAATTAGCTCTTGGAGATGTCATTAGTCTAGGGGTTCACATACTTTTTCCACCTGCACTGTGAATGTTTAAATGGTGTGTTCAATAAAAACATGGCAACATTTCATTCTTTGTGTGTTATTAGTTTAAGCAGACTGTGATTGTCTATTGTTGTGACTTAGATTATGATCAGATCACATTTTATGACCAATTTGTGCAGAAATCCATATCATTCCAAAGTGTTCACATACTTTTTCTTGCAACTGTAAGTAGCTTCACATCTGAACTGGCTCTATTTAAAAAATTCCCTGAATCCATCAGTAAAATTGATAGAATTATAGTAGGCCACATTCTGATAGCTGCAACCACATGCCTACCTAGATATTGGAAATCTAAAAACACACCCTCAGTTAAAGAAGTACTAACACTAACACTAGAAAACAAATCATACAAATTATCACATAGAAATAACACACATATATTTGCACAATTGAAATAGCAATGGGATCAATGGGAAACTGATGTCACAAAAA